TGGGGTGACGGGGATGATGACGCCATCGTTGACGTCAGCGGGATACAACCCCTCCCTTCCCATTCCCTTCCTTTTCTCCTCCTCTCCCCCGCCCCCCCCCCCCCTCCTTCCCACCCCCTCAGCGATGGATTGGACAGAAATGGATCTGTGGGACCGGACTGAGCCCCTCCCACCCCACAGCCCCTCCCCCAACCAAAAGGGGGCGGGGTTAAGGGGGAGCCCCATCCCACACACAGCCCCTCACCCAACCAGATGGGGGGCGGGGTTAAGGGGGAGCCCTTCCCCCACCACATGGACTTCAAGGGGGGAGGTGGTGTTTGGGGGGGGAGGGGCATGATGGGGTGGCCCCTCCCCCACCCCACTCCCCCCAGGTTTTACTGTTTGGTTGTTTTTTTTTTTTTTTTAGTTTGGTTTTTCTTTGGATTTTATTTTTTTCTGTGAATTTCGGGGTACTTTGGGAGGGGCGGGGGGGGGGAAGGAAATTGGGGGCGTTTTTAAGAAGAAAAAAATTTGCAAAATTCAAAAAAAAATTCAAAAATCTTTTTAAAAATGGGAAGGAAAAAAAAAAAACCAACATTTTCTGCCCCTCCCTCCCCCCCCCCCAGCGCTGGGGTTTTGGGGTTGGGTTTTTGGGGGGGGTTAATTTATTTGCGCCTCCCCTCCCCCCCCTTCCCCCATGACCCGGGTGGGGGAGGGGCGGGTGCTACATTTTTTTTTTTTTTTTAAGCTTTGTGTATAATTTTCTAAATTTGGGGGGGGGGGGGGTAGGGTGGGAATTTGTTTGATTTTGAGGGTTTCTTTTTTTTTTTCCGTGCCCCTCCCCCACCCTCCTCTCTTGCTCTCGCCCCCTCCCCCACCAACCCCCTCCCCCCCACCTCGCGCCTGTTTGGAACCTTCGGATTCTTTCACGTGTAAATAAAGAAAATATTATTGGAGCCCCTCCTCCACCCGTGGGAACTTCACCTCCCCCCTCTTTCCCCCACCCCCTTATTTCTTCCTTACCCCCTTCCCCTCCCACCATGGGACCCACGTTCCCCTCCCCCCACCCATGGGATTTTCCCTCTCCCCCCCATGTTTTGGGGGCCCCCAAAGTGGGGCTGGGAGGTGGGATTCTGCCCTAGAGGGGTCTTCCTGCTCCATAGAGGGCTCTTCTTGCCCCAGAGGTGAATCTTCCTGCCCTGTAGAGGGGTTTTCTTGCCCCATGGAGGAGTCTTCCTGCCCTATAGAGCTCCATGCCTGTGGTGATGCCACTGCCCTACACTGTGTCATTCCCCTGCCCCACAGCCCCCCCAACAACCGGGGCTGGAGCAGTGGGCAGTTTTATTAGAGCTGGAGCTACTGTGGGTCACAACTGTGGGGCTGCGGGGGGGGAAACGAGGGGGATGTTGGGGACACCAGGGGTTGCTGTGGGGTAACACGGGGGGCAGAGCCTGCTTGGAGCTGTGTGCAGTGGGGCAGGAGCTTGCTCAGGAGCTGGCCTGTGGGGAGAGAAAAGGAGGGGTGAGTGTGGGGCTGGGGTGACCCCAATGTTGGGGGGGGGGGATGACGACACACTTAGACGTTACCTGCAGTGGAGGGAAGTAAGTGCCCTGCAACACAGAGATGGGGTCAGTGTCACACAAGGGCACCCCAAAGCACCCCCAAACCTTGAGGACCCACATAAGACCCCCCCCACATTCACCTTCTTGCGCTTGTAGAAGATGAGCCCCACCACGATGAAGATGAGCCCCAACACGAAGCCCCCGATCCCCGTCAGCATCTTGCTATTGCTGCCATCCATCACCTCTGGAGAGCCAAAATTGGGGGGGGGGGGTGTGTGTTAAGTTTGGGGTTCCCCCCCTCGACACCTTCATTTTGGGGGGTACCAGCTGGGTTTGGGGTGTCCGTACCCCAATGGATGATGCTGGGCTGCTGGAGGCTGACGTGTTCCACCTGGCAGGTGTAGGTGTCGCCGCGCTGCGGGGTGGTTTCCAGCATCACCAGCACCTGGTAGGTCCAGTCGCCGTTCTGGATGACGTCGGTGGACACCACGTGCTGCAGCTCCTCGCGCCCGTTCTTGAACCACCGCACCTCGATGGGCGCCGGGTAGAAGTCGCTCACGGCGCACGCCAAGCGGTTGGTCTGCGGCGCCGAGCTCGACTGCACCGGGAAGATCTCGACCTTCGGAGGCACTGTGGGGTGAGGGGCAGAGTGTCCCGGGCACCCGAGGTGGTGGCGACCCAATGCGTTCGTCGACCCAACAATGGGCAACCCAATGCGTTGGCCAACCCAGTGGTGCTCAACCCGGTGTTGTACGACCCAGTGTGTTCACCAACCCAACAATGGGCAACCCAATGCGTTGGCCAACCCAATGGTGCTCAACCCGGTGTTGTACAACCCAATGTTTTCACCAACCCGACAATGGGCAACCCAAAAAGGGGCAACCCATTGTGTTGGCCACCCCAATGTGTTCATCAACCCAACACTGGGCAACCCAACAATGGGCAACTCAGCAGGTTGGGCAACCCAATGTTGTACAACCCAATGCATTCATCGACCCAACAATGGGCGACCCAACAATGGGCAACCCAATGTGTTGGCCAATCCAACACTGGGCAACCCAATGTTGTACAACCCAATGCGTTCATTAACCCAACACTGAGCAACCCAATGTTGTACAACCCAATGTGCTCATCAACGCAACACTGGGCAACCCAATGTTGTACAACCCAATGTGCTCGTCAACGCAACACTGGGCAACCCAATGTGTTGGCCAATCCAATGCTGGGCAACCCAATGTTGTACAGCCCAAAGTGTTCATCAACCCAACGTGTCGGCCAATCCAACACTGGGCAACCCAACGTTGTACAACCCAATGCGTTCATCAACCCAACAACGGGCAACCCAATGTTGTACAAAGGTGGCAAAGCCAACGTTCTGCCATGGACTCACCTCTCCGATCTACGGTGAAAGGTTTCAATATCCCATAGTTGTGCCGGCAGACTGTGTCCACCTCAGCCCTTCTCTGCTCCAGTTCTTCCACAATGCCGTTGTGGTACTTGGCTTGGAACTCGCCCTCGGGGTTGTCGCCCACATAGTGCCCCACATCGCTGTCAAAGTGCATGTACTGCTCCCGGTTGTAGATCCACCTCCCCAGTAACCGGACGCGCTCGCTGCCGTTGAGGAACTGACACTCGAACTTATACACCCCCTGGAAGATCCCTGTTGGTGCCGGGTGTTGGCTCAGGGGGAGCGGTTCCCCCCCCCTCGCCATGTCCTGGGGGGGCACAGGAGGGGCCAGGAGAAGGGGGGAAGGCAGGGACAGAGCCCACAAAGAGCCAGCAAAGAAAGACCCCCCCCAAACCCCAACAAACGCCCCCCAAAACCCAACAAAGACCCCCCACAAAGACCCCAAACCCCAACAAAGACCCCATGAAGACCCCGCAAAGACACAACAGAGACCCCCCCAAACCCCAAAGATTCTAACAACCTCCCTCCAAAGACCCAACAAAGAGCCCCCCAAACCCCAAAGACCCCCAAAGACCCAACGAAGACCCCCCAAACCACAAAGCCCAACAAAGACCCAACAAAGAGACCAAAAAAGACTCCCAAAGCCCAACAAAGACTCAACAAAGACCCCCCAAACCACAAAGCCCAACAAAGACCCAACAAAGAGACCAAAAAAGACTCCCAAAGCCCAACAAAGACTCAACAAAGACCCCCCAAACCACAAAGCCCAACAAAGACCCAACAAAGAGACCCCCAAAGACTCCAAAACCCAACAAAGACTCAACAAAGACCCCCCAAACCACAAAGCCCAACAAAGACCCAACAAAGAGACCAAAAAAGACTCCCAAAGCCCAACAAAGACTCAACAAAGACCCCCCAAACCACAAAGCCCAACAAAGACCCAACAAAGAGACCCCCAAAGACTCCAAAACCCAACAAAGACCCAACAAAGACCCCACCAAACTCCAAAGAACCAACAAAAACCAGGCCAACCCCCCCAAACCCCAACAAAGACCCCCCCAACACCCCCAAAACTCAACAAAGACCCCCCAAACCCCAAAGACACAACAAAGACCCCCCCAAACACCCCCAAAACCCCACAAAGACCCCCCCAAAACTCCCATTACCCCCAAAGACCCAACAATGACCCCCCCAAAGAACCCCCCCCAACCCCAAGGACACCCTAAAGACCCCGACCCCCCCCCCCCCGCCCCCCAGTGCCGTGGCTCCGCTCTCACCCGACAGCTCCTCGCCATGAGCCGGGGGGCTCCCAGTGCCACCAGTGCCACCAGCACGGCCCCAGCCGCTCCCAGCGCAGCCCCAGTGCCCATCGCGCGCACAGCGGGCTCCCCTTCCCAGTCAATGCGATCGCACGCACTGGGGGTCCCAGTGCCGGGACTGGGAAGCCCCAGGAACAACCAATGAGCAGCGAGGCTGGGGCGGCATCACCCGTTGCTGGGTAGAACAAGAGCGGACGGGGCTCCCGTCCACACTTGGTCCCCGTTGAAGCCGTCACCCCCCGGCTGCCACCATCACCCCCACGGCCACCAATGGGGCTCCCCCATCTCGGTGCCCCCCCCCCAGCGTTGTCGCTGACCCCAACCCCCCCTCTATGGGGTGCTGGGGGGGGTCAGGTCGAGGTTTAGACCCCAATGTGGTGCCCGTCGGGCTGTCTGCTCCATAGGGTACCCCGCGGCGCTGCTCTGCCTGGAGACAGATGAGTCATCAGCGGGGAGGCTTCTAATTGGTCGAGGGGCCTCAAGGGATGCCCTGGCATCCCCGCGTCGCCCCTTCGAGCATCTGGAGACGGGAGCGATGGCCGGAGGGCTGGGGATCGCGGCCCTGCTCCTGCTGCCGTTGGCTCTGTGGGGCACGACGGCTGTGAAAGGTGGGTGAAGGGTGGTGGGGTATGGGGCGGGGGGGGCAGTTGTGTGGGTCTGGGAGGGCCACGCTGCCCCATAGCGTGTGTAGGGTCCTGGAACCCAGCACTCAGGCTTAGGGGAGGAGGAAGGGGAAGGGGGTGGCTTGGGGATGCTCCATGGGGATGCTCCATGGGGATGCTCCTTGAGGGTGCTCCATGGGGATGCTCCTTGGGGATGCTCCAGGGGATGCTCCCTGAAGATGCTCTATAGGGATGCTCCTTGAGGATGCTCCATGAGGATGCCCCATGGGGATGCTCCTTGAGGGTGCTCCATGGGGATGCTCCTTGGGGATGCTCCAGGGGATGCTCCCTGAAGATGCTCTATAGGGATGCTCCTTGAGGATGCTCCATGAGGATGCCCCATGGGGATGCTCCTTGAGGGTGCTCCATGGGGATGCTCCTTGGGGATGCTCCAGGGGATGCTCCCTGAAGATGCTCTATAGGGATGCTCCTTGAGGATGCTCCATGAGGATGCCCCATGGGGATGCTCCCTGAGGATGCTCCGTGCCCCCTTCCCATTCGCAGTGGGGCACACGGTCATGCAGTCGGAGTTCTACCAGCGGGACGAGAGCAAGGAGCAGCAGGACAGCGAGTTCATGTTCGACTTCGACGGGGACGAGATACTCCACGTGGATCACGACTACAAGGAGACCGTGTGGCGCCTGGAGGAGTTCGGGAAGTTCGCCTCCTTCAAGGCCCAGGGAGCTCTGCAGAACATGGCCATCGGCAAGCAGAACCTGGAGATCTCCATTGCCCACAGCAACAAGTCCCGGGCCACCATCGGTAAGAGCCATCCCCCTTCCCTTTGGGAGGCCTCCATCGTTCCCGCGCGGAGCTGTGGAAGGAGGGCCCCAACCCCATTGTCCCCCCTCCCCTCCCAGTGCCGCCGGAGGTGTCGGTGTTCCCCAAGTACCGCGTGCAGCTGGAGGAGCCCAATGTGCTGGTGTGCGCCGTGGACAGGCTGTGGCCGCCGGTGCTGACGGTGGCGTGGGAGCGGAACGGGCAGGCCGTGAGCGACGGCATCTACAGGAGCGTGTTCTACCCGCGGGAGGACAACACCTACAGGCTCTTCTCCTACCTGACCTTCGTGCCCCAGCGCGGGGACCTCTACGTGTGCCGCGTGCGGCACAAGGAGATCCCCGAAGAGTTCCAGAAGGAGTGGGGTGAGGAAGAGGGAGGGTGGGAAGGGGAAGAGGAAGAGGAAGGGGGAGAAGGGGAGGAAGGGGGGATGGGGGTGAGGAAGAGGAAGGTGAAGAAGAAAAAGGTGGGATTGGGATGAGGAAGGTTGGACAGAGGGGTGAAGAAGAGGAAGGTGATGAAGAGGAAGGTGAGATAGGGATGAAGAAGAGGAATGTGGGATAGGGAGGTGAGGAAGAGGAAGGTGAGGAAGAGGAAGGATGGATGTGGGGGTGAGAAAGAGGAAGGTGAGGAAGAGGAAGCAGGACGAGGATGAGGAAGAGGGTGGTTGGAGGGGGGGGATACTCAACTCTTTTCTCTCCCCCTTCCCCCTTTTGCAGAACCCAAGGTGCCCCCCGCTGCCTCTGAGACCACCCAGACCGTGGTGTGCGCCCTGGGCTTGGCCGTGGGCATCGTGGGCATCGTGGTGGGCACCATCCTCATCATCAAGGCCATGAAGATGAACAACGCCCACAACCACAGGGGGGTCTTGTGAACCCCCAGCACCCCAAACCTGGCCCCTCCACACCCCTTTCCCCTTGCAGACCCCCAAGTGGAGACGAGGGGTGCCCTGCCCCACAGCTCCCCATGGCACCCGCCCCCCTTCACCCTCCTCTTTGCTCCTCTCCTGTGCTGCCTGGTAACTGCAATAAAGTGGGTTGGGGTTGATCCCACCACGAGGCCACTCTCGGGGTTGATCTATGGGGCAGGAACCTACCCCCACCTCTTGGGTGAAGCTTGGGGGTCCAGCAGCTTCTTTTCTAAAGAACCCCATGATGGGACGTGGGGCTCCTGGGTGGCTTCCTCGCACCCAAAGAAAGACGTAGAGGGATACCGGGAAGTTCTTCACTATGAGGCTGTTGGGACATTGGAACGGGTTGCAAGGAGAGGGTTTGGATGCTCCCTCCCTTCAAGGCCAGGTTGGAGCAACCTGGTCCAGTGGAAGGGGTTGGAACTGGAGGAGCTTTTTAAGGCCCCTTCACCCCAATCCATGGCTGGATTCGACGTCCTGAGGTCGGGCTTTAGGACCCAGCGGCGCTGGGCGAAGGCGAAGCGAGGCAGGGTCGGACCTGATTGAAGCCCGCTCGGCACAGGTCCGGGAAGTGCAGGGAAGGTCGGACCTGATTGAGACCCCCGCGTTGATTCGGCTGCTTCCGATACCCCCTTTATAAGGAGGGAGGCGGAGATAGCGGTGGGTGCGACGGGGTTGGTTTTGCTTTAGGTTTTAGTGTGTGCGAGGTCGCTCTGCCCCCATGTAGTTAAACCGCTGTAATTAGCGCCTGTAATTAATCTGCTATCCTTACCCCCCCGCCGCCCAAGTAAATGCCTGTGGGAAAAACTCCTTTTCCTTCAAACACGCCATAAACCCCTGCTTTCCACAGCAAAAAACACCCCGTTATATCTTTCTCCAGCCCCAAGTGCTGCCCACAGATGGGTTTGGGTTACTCTATGTCCACCCATTCGCCAAACCCTTTAGGGACCTGTTTCAGCTCCAGCCATTCCAATGGGAGCATCGCTGGGAAGCTGCTCTTTGCATTCCGAGATACACCTGGGTGTCACTAGGAAGGGGAAATGGGTGTGAGTGGTGCATAGGGGGTTTCCAGAAGGTTCCTCCCTCCCCCATGGAGGCTGTGTCACTTGTTACCAGGCAGAAAACAGTGATGAGACCTGGGGAGAAGGACTTGGTGTCCGGTGAGGAGAAGCTCAGTGTGATGGAATCTGGAACCACCCATGTCCTGGGCTGCATCCCAGGGTGCCCAGAGAAGCTGTGGCTGCCCCATCCCTGGCAGTGTTCAAGGCCAGGTTGGCCACAGGGGCTTGGAGCAAGTGGAAGGGGTCCCTGCCCGTGGCAGGGGTTGGGACTTAATGAGCTTTAAGGTCCCTTCACCCCAACCCATTGCGGGCTGCGACGTCCTGCGGTCGGGCTTTAGGACCCAGGACGCCGTTCGAAGGCAAAGCGCGGCGGGGTCGGACCTGATTGAAGCCTGCGTCTCCATCGGAGTGTGGTGCTTGCAGGGAAGGTCGGACCTGATTGAGACCCCCGCGTTTATTTGACCGCGCCCGGTCCCACCCTTTAGTGGGGTGCTGCTGCTGGTAGAGGGATCAGGGCTTGCGTATGCGGCAGGTAATTCCCCTCCCTGCAATTAATTCCTTGTAATTATTAAAGTTCCCCGGCCTAGTAAAGGCGTTTGGGAATAGCCACTTTTTCCTCAAACCCGCTATAGAACCCTGCTTTCCACCCTGAAAAACCCTCGTTATTTCTTTCTCCAACCCAGAGTGCTGCCTGTAGATCTCTTTGGGTTACTTTGTGTGCACCCATGGGTCAAACCTTTTCGGGACCGGTTTCGACCCCAGCCATCCCAATGGGAGCATCACTGGGAAGCTGCTTTTTGCTTTCTGGGATACTCCTGGGTGTCATTAGGAAAGGGGAAATGGCACAGGGTGCCCAGAGAAGCTGTGGCTGCCCCATCCCCGGCAGTGTTCAAGGCCAGGTTGGACACAGGGGCTTGGAGCAAGCTGCTCCAGTGGAAGGGGTCCCTGCCCGTGGCAGGAGTTGGAGCTGGAGCTCTAAATTCCCTTCACCCCAACCCGTTGCGGGCTTTGACGTCCTGCGGTCGGGCTTTAGGACCATGCGGCACTGTTCGAAGGCGAAGAGAGGCAGGGTCGGACCTGATTGAAGCCTGCGGCGCCACCGGAGTGTGGTGCTTGCAGGGAAGGTCGGACCTGATTGAGACCCCCGCGTTGATTCGGCCGCGTCCGTTCCCGCCTGATATCGGTTTCAGCGGCGGCGTTGTTGCTGCTGGTGGCCGCTTCGCGGTTGTGGTGCGGGGCGGATAGCTTCGCCTACGTGTAATTGAAGCAATGTCGTTAGCGCTTGTAATTAACTCTCTTAAATTATTAGAGCCCCCTGCGCTAGTAAATGCATTTGGGCATAACCCCGTTTTCCCTCAAACCCACTGTAACAGCTTGCTTCCACGCGAAAAAGCACCCGTTATTTCTTTCTTCAAGCCAGAATGCAGCACGTAAGTGGGCTGGGATTACTTTGTGTGCACACCGAAGGGGCAAACCCCTTTAGGACCGGTTTCGACTCTGGCCATCCCAGTGGGAGCATCACTAGGAAGCTGATCTTTGCTGTGGGAATAGTGGGTGTCACTAGAAAAAGGAAAATTGGTGTGAATGGTGCCTCCCTCCCCCATGGAGGCCGTGTCACTGGTTACCAGGCGGAAAGCAGTGATGAAACCTGGGGAGAAGTACTTGGGGTGTCGGGTAAGGAGAAGCTCAATGCGGCAGGGGTTGGAACTGGAGCAGCTTTAAGGTCCCTTCAACCCCAACCCATTGCAGGGTTCGACGTCCTGCGGTCGGGCTTTTAGGACCCAGCGGAGTTGGGCGAAGGCGAAGCGAGGCTGGGTCGGACCGGATTGAAGCCCGCGGCGCCACCGGAGTGTGGTGCGTGCAGGGAAGGTCGGACCTGATTGAAACCCCCGGTTTGATTCGACCGCGCGCGGTCCCGCCCTATGTAAGGCGGGAGGCGGTGTGAGCGGTGTTAGTGGAGGTGTTTCTGGTTTTGGGGCAATTGGGTTTGCGGTGGCGTGCAGGTAGATCTGTCCCGCTTATTTAGTACCCATAATAAGCTCACTATCATTTAACTCCCCTGTCCTTTTAAATGCATTTGGAAATAACTACTTTAACCTCAAACTCGCCACAAATCCCTGCTTTCCACCCCCAAAAACACCCATTAGTTCTTTCTTCGAACCAGAGTGCTGGCTGCAGATGGGTTTGGCTTACTTTATGTGCACCCATAAGTCAAACCCCTGTAGGACCGATGTTGACTACAGCCTTCCCAATGGGAGCATCACTGGGGAGTTGCTCTTTGCCTTCTGGGATACTCCTGGATGTCATTAGGAGAGGGGAAATGGGTGTGAATGCTGCCTCCCTCCCCCATGGAGGCCGTGTCACTGGATACCAGGCATAAAGCGGTGACAAGACCTGGGGAGGAAGATTTGGTGTCGGGTGAGGAGAGGTTCAATGTGGCAGGGGTTGGAACTGGAGAAGCTTTAAGATCCCCTCACCCCAACCCTTTTGGGGGCTTCGACGTCCTGCGGTCGGGCTTTTAGGACCCAGCTTCCTTGGGCGAAGGCGAAGCGAGGCAGGGTCGGACCTGATTGAAACCCGCAGCGCCACCGGAGTGTGGTGCGTGCAGGGAAGGTCGGACCTGATTGAGACCCTCGAGTAGATTCGACAGCGTGCTGTCTCGACCTATATAAGGCGGGAGGCGGTGTCACAGGGGGAGGTGGTGCTGTTTCTCTTGGTGTCGTCGTGTGCTGCAGGTACCTCCGCTGGCAGTAAATTCCCTGTGATCATTAAACTGCCCCAGCCCTAATAAATGTGTTTGGTCATTACCTCTTTTTCATCAAACTCACCGTAAAACCGTGTTTTCCACCCCAGAAAACACCTGTTTTTTGTCAAAGCCAAAGTGCTGCCCATGGATGGGCCCGGATTACTTTGTGTCCACTCATGGGAAAAACCCCTCTAAGACTGGTTTTGACTCCAGCCATCCCAATCGGAGCATCATTGGGAAGCTGCTCTTTGCCTTCTGAGGTACTCCTGGGTGTCATGAGAAAAGGGGAAATGGGCGCGAGTGGTGCATAGGGATTTTCTAGAAAATTTCTCCCTCCCCCACGGAGGCCGTGTCACTTGTTACCAGGCGGAAAGTGGCGATGAGACCTGGGGAGAAGGACTTGGTGTCCGGTGAGGAGAAGCTCAGTGTGATGGAGCCTGGAACCACCCGTGTCCTGGGCTGCATCCCAAGAGCATGAGCAGCACCTCTGAGGGTTTCCAGGCTGTATCCTGCGTCCAGCTCTGGGGCAACAGCACAGGAGGGGCGTGGAGCTGCTGGAGCCAGGCCAGAGGAGGCTCCAATGCCTAAAGGGGCTGCAGAAAAGCTAGAGAGGGGCTTTGGACAAGGGTCTGTAGGGACAGGCCAAGGGGAACGGCTTGAACCTGCCAGAGGGGAGACTGAGATGAGCTCTTAGGCAGAAGCTCTTCCCTGTGAGGGTGCTGAGGCGCTGGCACAGGGTGCCCAGAGAAGCTGTGGCTGCCCCATCCCTGGCAGTGTTCAAGGGCAGGTTGGACACAGGGGCTTGGAGCAAGCTGCTCCAGTGGAAGGGGTCACTGCCCGTGGCAGGGGTTGGAGCTGGAAGAGCTTTAAGGCCCGTCCACCCTAACCCATTGCGTGATTCGACGTCCTGCGGTCGGCTTTAGGACCCAGTAGTGCTGGGCGAGGGCGAAGCGAAGCAGGGTCGGACCTGATTGAAGCCCGCGGCGCCACCGGAGTCCGGTGAGTGTAGGGAAGGTCGGACCTGATTGAGACCCCCGCGTTGATTCGACCGCGTCCTGTTCCGCCATACCTGAGGTGGGAGGCCGTGTGAGCGGCTTCAGTGGCGGCGTTGGTGCTGCTGGTGCTTTCGGGGTTGCAGTGCACGGCAGGTAGCTCCCGTAGTTTGCGCTTGTAATTAATTCTTTATAATCATTAAATCTCCCTTCTCCTATTAAATGCATTTAGGAATAACCTCTTTTCCTTCAAACAAGCCACAAAACTCTGCTTTCCAGCCCCCAAAACACCCATTATTTTTCCAAACAAGCGCGCTGCCTGCAGATGTGTTTGTGTTACTGTGTGTGC